TCTAAGCAATTATTCTTTTTTTTCTTGATAGTTATCTTCGTTTGTCTCAAGCAAGGAAAATGCTTTGGCTTGAGCTGGTACTAATGCTGCTTTGTGGAATGACAAGCAGGTGAATTGTAACAAGATTGTAGACACTCTCAGCAGTCATCAATAACTTTCCAACATGTTTCATCCCTGGGAGTGAATGGCTTTTATGACAGTTAAGTTTGTAACAACATACCACAATACAGGTGTGCCTCTTAATCTCAAATAGTGTTTTTAATGACTAAATTAAATGTTCCAGTTTAACAGAGGGCCTTTTCTATTGTCTAGACTGTCTGTACTTCACCTTAATTATAATGATGATATTATATCTTCTTTAGCACCATTCATACCAAAGGATAGTAAAGAGTTGTACATTCCATATGCAAGAAACATTTCATCCACCATGGAAATGCAACCACCTTGGGTAAAATGCCAAGAATGTAGGTAGAGAATGTAATTAGCCATGTTGGAATTTGGCCAGCACACTGAGATTAAAACCCCTAATGCCTTGGGATCTTTAATGATCACAAATGGTCAGATCACTACTTTGTCTCAGCCTATAATGCTTTACTACAACAAGCATATTTTCAGTTGTAAAGAACAGTCATTACAATTAAACCAGTAAATTTACTCTCCATCTAGTTTCCAATAAAGTTACAAAAATATCACTAAAGTGTATGAGCATAACAGAATGATACCATGTTTAGTCAAAAAATTGGTGGGCCATATTCTGCTCTCATTGGAGCTGAATCTTTCCATGTAAAACTGGAGGACTTCCTTTGAAGTCAATGGCATTCCTCTGGATTGACACCAGTATAACTGAAAGCAGACTTTGTCTCACTGCGTGTTTTTATGTACATATAAAGCAGATATGTTTGAAAAGTTAAATATTTATGTTCTATCTAAATATGGGAGATTTTCTTTTTATTTTTAAAACCATAAAATTGTTAACAGACCCATGAAAAAGAATACTATGGCTCTGTCTGTTTGTTAACCTTCACCACAAAAATTGATCTGTGGGAATTTCTCGCAGTGTAACATACTGTATCCAATTCCATAGTTATTACTGTAAACCTATTAGTGCCACCTGGGTTTGCATATCCGCAGTGCTGTCCAAGGGAAGACAGATTAGCTCTATCACATGTTATGCCAGAGGGACAGCCTCACGAGGAGTCTGCCCTCAGGGAGAGAAAAAGGCTCAGACCTTTAATGAGAATACAGTGCTTTATAATAGCATTTGGTGGCCTAGAGATTTTCTGTCAAGTCATTTCAAATTAAATTGGCAGCCTTGCAGTGTTCAACCTATATGAGTTTTTGTGCTGTGTATATATTTAATGTTAACCCAATTCTCACATAGGATCAGCAGAACGTATAGAGGCACTGTTTGCACCACTGTCATTTTTTTTCTTTATAAACCACTGAAAAATGCTGTTTATGGGGTGACTCTAGAATTTTACTTGGAGCTGAATCTTTCCAGGTGAAAATTCAGACATGGTCATTTCTCTGCAAATGTAATCATCAGTGTCTTATACTGTTTAAAATCATTACTTGTGCAAACATAAGTGGGCCAAATTTGTATTTACATCAGTGTAACTCTATCAACTTAGAGGACTGATTACGGACAGACACTCTCATAAATAAGAGCAGAATTTGGGCCATAGAACTGTATTTATTTCAGATGCTATTTTGGAGGTTTTGCTTTTATTTTAAAAAGTCACACAGGATGACTTAGTCTTTCTTGTGTTTGGAAATTAAAAAAAGAACAGCAGAGTGATTAATGTTTGAAAATAGTTTATTTTCACTGAGCAAAAACTCATTCCATAACATGTATTTTTAGGGTCCAGTCCTGCAAACACTTACACCTGAGTAACCTCGCTCCCCTGGGCATTGGCAGCCCCATTAAACTAAAAAGTTCTACTCATGTGAGTAAAGTTACATCTGTAAGTGTTTACCGGAGCAGGTGCACAATGGCTATAAACAGAATGGAACAACATGGGGTGTAAAATAGTTCCTGTTGGCTGCTGTTAGAACCAGCAAATATGTTGTCAGGTCATCTTTGAAGCAATCTAGATTATGCATGGTCTGTGCATCTCTTCTTGTTCGGGCCCAAGTGTCAAATCCTGCAATGCACTGTGAATCCCTTAATGTGCTGAGTGCCCGCAAGAAAAGTGCAGCAGCTTCTGGGACTGGGCCCTAACTGATACAAGCTAGCGCTGGTTTGGAGCTGGATGCCTAGCTGAACAGTGGAGCAGCCATCCCATGAGGTTGGTAGAAAGGGAGCTCTAACTCACTGAACAATGGAGAAGAGTGAAAAACTGGGCGGAGCCTTTTACTGAGGCTGGAGTCTTATACTGATGTCTCTGCTTTTTTGTATACTACCAGTGGGAAGGTAGACTATGTTTTGGGGGTACTTGGAGAGAACTAAGCCTATAGTTATGCTATTTTACAAATAAGATTAATTTAAGCACCAGTATTTGTTTTTAGTTAATAGGTACACAGGAAAAGCCATCTAAAACAAGCTCTTATTAAGTGTTTTTTTGTTTTGTGTAGAATATACCTGCAATTGTGTATAGGGCCCGATTCATTCATTCATTCATTCATTCTAATGGAGTTACACCTATGTAAAACTAAGCAGTGAAAGAGGCCCATAATTCCCTTTTCTGTTTAATATAACCTTTGGTTTGCGGCACATTCTGCCTGTAGATATTTTATAAATTTAAACCAACAATAGATTTGATTTATTTCTTAATATTCCCGGTCCTGTGTCTTCTATTATATAACTGAGGGGAAAGTAAATTCTGATGGGTGATAAGCTTCCCAGGGTGGTCACCATTCGTATATGTTACTTCAAAAAAAGAGAGCTGAACACTGCTCACCTATTTCATGTCTGTGGTTCCACTGGCTTCAATGGGAATTTTGCATGAGTAAAGACAGCACAGTTTGACCTTGCATCATGTAGGCCCAGTTCTGCCCTCAGCTAAGTGTGTATAACTGTCCTGACTTTACTGAGGGCTACATGCCTAGATATGAGGGAAGAATTTAGCTCAGTTTTCTTAGTTGATTTAAATATTAAACCAAATTCACCCCCATTGTAATTCCGTTGACCTCAGTGAAGTGACACAAGGGATGCATTTGGCCCAACATGCTTTTCTGTGTGTCATTCCGCTTTGTGTGCGGTAGGGTCTTGGGAGGTAAGAAACAAAATAAGCATTGTATAAACCTCCATTGAAACATTATCCTATTTTTTTCTGTTAGAGAAGGAGAAAATACAAAATGCACTTTCAGTAATGCTAAGTTAGTAATAGTGCTGAGACCCTGCCTTTAACTCACGTGGGGCCTGCTGCGGGTGGAGTCAAGAGACATCGGGGAGCAGAATTTGTCCTATCATCATAACTGGTTTTTCCCCCTCACAATGTCTGTGACTGACCTGTGGTAAATGTGACAATTCCTTCAACGTCTGTAATAATATTACCTGTAGTGGTGTGTGTTTGTGTGTATATTATAAGATATTTACCTATTCAAACTTTAGGGCCAAATTCTCCAGTCTACATGCAGGGTGGGTGCACAATGTAAAGTCTTGAATGGGAAAAGGGGGAGGATATTGGGATGGGAGAAATACTGGGCATTCTCCTTAAGCAAACCTTCAAAAGTGTTTGGGTCCTGTTATGATGCTGGCTGAGGTGGTTTTTTTCTTTTTTGGGGGGGGCTGAGCATGCATCCCTAATATGATTTCATGGGGAAGGATTGGTGGCATAGTGGGATAATGTGCTAACCTTTCATATCTTAAGCCCTGGGTTCAAATACTATCTCAGGCCTTGCTGACACATGTGAGTAATTTTACGCACTATAAGCACCATTGAGTTCAATGGAACTCAGGCCTGATTCTCCACTTATATCATCCTACACGACTATGCAAGGTGGGTCTAAAGCAGGGATCGGCAACCTTTGGCACGCGGCTCGCCAGGGTAAGCCCCCTGGCGGGCTGGGCCGGTTTGTTTACCTGCCGCATCTGCAGGTTCGGCCAATCGCGGCTCCCACTGGCCGCGGTTCGCCACTCCAGGCCAATGAGGGCTGCGGGATGAGGGATGTGCTGGCATTGCTCTGTGACATTACAAATACCACATGGATTACATGGGTTGCAATGAAACTTGTGGCATTTGTGAGTCTCTGATTTCTTCACTTAACCAAGAGGATTTCACAAGATGAAAAATAATTTTAAATTTTATCTCTCTGATTAATGGTTTGGTCAATAAGGACATTCAGTACACAAATTGGGCTTTAGCTTAATGCTCATTTTTGCTTTGCCATTCGCCTTTAAAACTTGTGATAGTCTTTAAAGTGTTGTACTAGTGTTTCAAGAGGAATGTAATTTTACAGAGTGACTAGTCTGGGAATAGAATGAAATGGAACATCTGTCCTTCTGAACTGCTTTACTGTTGGAATTACTTGGCTGTAGCAAATACAGATAAAAAACAAAGATAAAAATACAAATGAAAAAAATAGATATGACTTGTTAATCTTTTCTCTAAAGCTGTGAAGTAGGCTTATAAAATTAAATATATTTATAATATTTCCTGTTATTTCATACTATTATTTCCTCCCACATAACAACTACTTTTTTTTAAAGGCAGGCTTCATTACTGAGGCAACATCATAAGTTAAAGTCCGATGCATTTTCTGAACACAAAGATGTGCTTTATTTTTTTTTAAACTGCCTTTAGTGAAAATATATCTGACTGTTGCAGGTGTTTATTGTACCTATTACACTTAGATCTACATCCATTGATTATATTGTCAGTATGCCCACCAGCCACTATTACTATTGTTATTTTGTTCTATGTTTACATTTTATAAAACATAAGCAAACATTAAGACTTTGATGATAAAGTATACTTTGACTAGTAAAGGTTTTAAAAAAAAATGTAGCCAGTAATCTATTTTCATGGTGTTCTCTAAACCCTATCATCAGGGCTGCAGATTCCTACACATGACCAGTCTTCAGTAGTGAACAAAAATGGCATCTAAATCCCAAGTGACACTCTTAAGCACTTGGCAGCAGAAGGGCTCTTCTGAGGAAGATTAAGTTAATGGAAGCATTTGGGTAACATCTGCATGACTCTTCATCCTGGTAAGGCCAACTCACACTGCAACAACACGTGATGGAGGATTTCTCTGATTATCACTTAAGAACAAAACTGGCTGAAGTTTCTTTTCAAGTACTGACCAGGATGTCAGGTGTGTGTGAATATATATATATAATTTATAAACAGAAACAGTGGTAAGGGTAGATCTATCTAGACTTGTGATTGTACATAAAAATAATTGGATTATTTGTCTAATGAAAAGTAAAGGGATGAGGGAAAAGATTTTTTTTTGGATGTTTATTTTAAAGACTTTTTTTTATCACAAAATGTGCTGTCTTTTTCAACAGAGCCTGGCCCAGGGCAACTGGGGCTTTGTTAACATAGTGGATTAATGCACTAGCCCTTCAACTCAGTTGACCTCCGTTCAGATCTGTTTTGTGTCACAAGTTAAAAGAGTTTATTGGTCCTACTCTAGCCCTGGCTGGTGCTTTTCCCACCTCATAAAACCACTACACAGTTTGGCATAAGTGCTATTTTCTGTTGTGAAAAGGCCCAGGACTAGTGCAGCAGGGCAGTGGCAGGTCATGACTAAAGAACGTCTGTAGAGCAGAATGGGGAACAAGATACGGTGACTAATCATTCTACAGGGCTGATCCTGCATTGTTTACGCACAGGGAACTTCGATTTGTAGTCAGTGGGAATTTTGGGTGTCCAAGTAGTGCAGCTTTAGGGCCTATGCCTAACTTTGGCAGCTGCTATCCATCTCATTTTCAATATTGCTAATCTGGTTGGTTTAGGGAGAGGCAAATTATTGCAGTCTTGAAATTGGACTAACCTCAGGGGGGGGGAAAAGCCTCATTCTATTGAAATGGAGTTGACTTGGAGAGAAAGTTGCCGCATTCCAAGAAAAAGGCCTTGGAAATTGAATTTGAAACTTTGCATGATCCCATGCAAACCTACCATTTCATATAATTGTGCAGAAAAGCCAAACTTGAGGGGCATAAAATTGCCTGAAATGAACATTTTAGTGCAAAATTTCTAGAAAAAAATTCTCCAGATTTGCACAAATGGAAGCAACACAAAATACTTCTATATGGCTGCATCATCAGATTAACATTCAGGATTGAAATTTAAGTACAGGTTATTTCAAATTTTTAATTGTTGCAATTAAGGGATCTGTTTTATTTAAATTTCAAATAATAGTATTTCCAAATCAGCATATATCTGATGATTATTAATAATTACCACTACTTTACCTCCACAGAGTACCTTTTGTCACAGAGGATCCAAAAGGGGGAGTATTATATAGGAATCACTTCCTTCTCCAAATGTGGGTAGTATCAGTGACGGAACACAGCAGCTGTTTAACAGTGATAATACATAGCACGTGAGGATGGGAAATGAGGAACACCATATTCAGTGGACAATACTAGGGTCTTTAGGTAAGCTGTTTTCTGCATGTTTTGTAATGTTGCCCGTGATCTGTTTTTTTTAAATTTTTTATTTTTTGTGTGTGTGGTAGGGAAAGGAAGTTTAACTTCTACTTCAAGTAGTGTTCATATGGATGTTGCACCTGAGTTTTTCCACAGATTTTCAGCAGAAGTGCCTGTTTGACTTGCATATGTGATCTAGCTATCCTCATACCCTGTGCTGAGGGTATACAGAGCTGCAAGGGATGATCTGCCTTCAGTTCCTTTCAACCTCCTAGGCCCAAGATGGTGCATCCAGTAGCGCCTACTTGCACATCTACTTGTCTCACTGTTTTTCTTAGTTTGTTCAACTTATTTTCTCTTAGTGATGTAGCTTTCAATAATTTTTAGAGTTAGTTTAGTAGTTTTGGGGTTTTTTCCTCCCTCTCTTTGAGACTTTAGCTTTAGCCTCAACTGCCACTGAAGTTCCCACCTTCTCCGGGGTACTGCTCAGGAGTCACCTCAAGCAGAGATCCAGGAGGTTCTGTTGAACAGTAGAAAAGAATCAGTTAGTAAACTTACCTTCAGAAATGGAAAAGATTCTACCTATCGACACCTATTTCCTGCTGACTCTTCCCTCCTGGCAATCCTGGAATACCTCTTCATTTTGAAGAAAACAGGTCTTTCCTTGAGCTCCATTAAAGTTCACCTGGCAGCTATCGCGACATTCTATTTCCCCAGTGGAAGGCTTCTCAGTGTTTGTTCAACCTTGCAACTTCTAGATTCGTCAAAGGTTTATCGAACCTGTGCCCACATGTCACAGAGCCCACCCCAACCTAAGACTTGAACTGAGCTCTCATTTCTCTGAGGAAACCACTCTTTGAACTGCTCTCTACCTGTGTGTTTTTAAACCTATCCATGAAAACCACTTTTTTGGTGGCTATTAGCTCCGCTTGAAGAGTTGGTGAATTAGGGCCTTTGATGGCTGTCCCCCACCCCCACTGTCTTCGTTAAGGAAAAGGTATCTCTTGAACCACTCCCACCATTCTTACATAAGGTCACCTTAGACTTTCAGACCATCTACCAGTTTTTCCACTCTAAATCTCACTGATCTGGGTAGGATGCCACCCTTCACACCATGGACATTAGGAGAGTGTTGGACTTTTATTTGGACAGGACTAGACCTTTTCTGGTTTCTCCTCAGCTGTTTGTTTGTATTGTGGACAGAGCTAAAGGTCTGCCACTCTCTACCCAAAGACTTTCCAAATGGCTTTCCGGCTGTATCCTCTCCTGCTATGAAACTGCTAAAGTGCCATACGCACCTAGGGTCATAGCTCATTCTACCAGATCAGTCCATTGCCCTGCTGAAAGATGCTCCTATAGTAGAAAACTGAAAAGCTGCTACCTGGGCTTTGGTTCACACCTTCTCAAGTACACACCACTAGGCAAATACTGCCTTCTAGGTCTGCAGTTCTGCAAACAGTTCTAGACAAGACTCTGAAGCTCCCACCTCCTTCAGGGCATGATGATAGCTAGGAGGCATGTGTGGACCGACTGGGCATTGTTCCTGAAAATCTCAGATCGAAGGTGAATGGGGAATATGCACACAAGTAAGCATCCATAGGGACACACATATCAAATAACTCCAGTTACCATCCAAAGTAAATAATCTGTCTTTTTCATTGGTGGTTGCATGTGACCCATTATGGTGCCACTTTAGCAGAGGTGGGGTTAGCAGGCAAAGGTTGGTCTTGCTTAAAAGTTTCATATTCTTTTTCTGGACATGTATGTATGGTGTCTTATGGATTTTCTTTGTTTGACTCTGGAAATTTCTCCTGCTAATGGCCTTGTTTATTGTGACACCAAATTAAAATGCTTCTAGGTAGGATAGGGCTATTTGGAACCATTACAAGGCAATTGACTTGGCCAAGACAAAGTACTGCAATGAATTTGAGAGACTTGAATTTGTGAGATAAGAATGGGTGAGCAGCCCCCTTTGAGCTCTGCTTTTATGTAGCTTGTAGTCTAAGAAAACAGATCCTGTCACTCATTTTATATCATACTAAAAGCATATTTGGTGAACTTTACTAAGCTTCTAGCACCTACTAGCTAATCTAATTTATTGACTGGATAGAAAGAAAAGCAAATTCCACGGCTTGGTTGGAGTTCACTTGGAAACATGAGAACATCAGCAGAAAGTTTCCATCTGACAATTAAGATGGGGGGGGGGAATGGAAGACTCAATAATATTTCTTATGAAGCTATCCATTTAAGTCCTACATCAGGCATAGCCAGCTGTTCTGGACTCCTGTGGAAAAAGGCTTAAAATCTCTACAGACTTTACAGGCAATTCTGCAAATTAAATGTACTAATTTATAAGCACAAACACTAGTGGTCTAGCATCTTGACATGCTTCTCAGTCAAGCATAGACATTTTCTTTTTTGTAAAGTGCTGGATTCCAACTACATAAACTAAACAGCATTTACCATAAAAACAACAACACCCCACAGAAGCTGTCAAAAGATATCTTAAAAACTGTGGTGTATTTCTGTTTCTGACAGTATATACTCTGTGGGTCAGGTCCTCAGCTGATGTAAACCCATGCTGCTCCAAAGTCAATTGAGTTATGCTGATTTACATCTGTTAGAGTGTGTGTGTGTCTGCAGTACATGGCTGTTGCACATATAGGTGATCCTGTAATGGTGTGCCAACAAAATATTCCCTTTCCATGGAGTGCTGTCAAAATTCTTCTTTTGTACTTTGAATCATCAGGGCTCTAACTTTTAGGCTTGCAAATGTTTAAAAGATGTCATAAATATTTCTTATATTCTATTAAATGCAGTCTGCTTTGATTATCTAGCCCCACTTGACTACAGCACTCCCGGGGATAATGATAATATTGATTTACCTACATACAGTATGTAGTATATCAGTGTTATCAGGCATGACTTTATTTTAACAGAAACTTTACAGTACAAATCTAATCTGACAGTTTTATGTGATCTCTGGCACTGGATGTTGAAAATAGGGTATAGCTTGTGTAGTTATGGTTTTATTCAACACAGGCATGTGGCTTTTTGAAAGCATTTGAGGGTTAAACTTTTCTCATGGTTTTGGTTTTGCTTTTGCCCATGAATGGCCATTTGAATGAGTGAAGTCACAGGAAAGGAATTGCAATGTTTTAAGAAAGCAATTGCCCGTGCTTTGATGTGCTTGTTTTTGGGGAGCATACTTAGAGGCTCAGTGAGTTATATTCTCTCACTGCATGGGCCCTGCTCTGAGCGTAGAAGGAGAAGAGTGCAGTGTACCTAGCCCACTTCCTCCCCCCCCCCAGCAGACATGCCCTGACTGCTGGGGAAAATACAGGGAAACCCTGCTGCCCCCCAGATACTCAGACCTCTGCTGACACTCCGCTCTGGGAAGTGCAGGGTTCTCCTTGCCACAACCATCTGACTTTGTGTAGAGATGGAGCCACAGGAGCCCCAATTTCATGGTATGCTTTGGGGGCCTCGCTTGCCTTAATCTGGCCCTGTCTTCAGTCTCCAGAGCTCCCCACTTCTTGAAGGGGGGAATCCATGACCCATTCTTTCTCAGCTACTCACAGTGAAAAACACCATGAGTGGCCAACACAAGCTCCAGCTGGTGGATTAGCATTAACCATAAAAGACTTGTGGGTTGGGAGAAGGATGATACAATGATGAAGGCTGTTCCTCCATCCCTGCTCTGGCCTACCTGTTTTGCACAGTGCAGCTCAAGCTCCATGGAGGCTTCATAGAGAGGATTCCACAGGATCAGGTAGTGGCACTCCTTTTGCTGCACCATCTGAGCCAGGATCTGCTGGATCTCTGTTCCTTCTGCTTCCTGGAGCAGGCGCTACAATAGGGTCCATTGGCAGGTAGTATAGGCCCCTAATTTAGGTTTCATTAAAGGTTTCACAAACCCTAATGCCAACAGAAATAGATCCCTCAAGTTCTAAAGACTGTAATGTGAACAGTATTTGGGTGGACTGAACATTCCCCAGCACATCTGTCTAGAAGCCAATGTAGGCATTGTACCAGAAAGGCAAGCATCAACTTGCACCTCTTTTCTTGCTTCTTCACTAGTCTGTTGCACAAGACCCAGAAGCAGGGCCGGCTCTAACTTTTTTGCCACCCCAGGCAAAAAAGAAGAGCGCTGCCCCGCCGTAACACG